CCAAATTTCTTAAACACAGTTGTCGAGAAATTAGTAGTTTTTCTGACATGGTTTTCAGTTGCATGTTACAACGAACTATTCTGGTTGGCAGAAGAGTCAAGGAAGATCTCGGCGTGTCGGTTGAATTCCTCAGCATAACGCATGTGAAGGTTGTGCTTTCCCTCTGGCATCATCAAAACCCTGAGGAAGAGGTTGAGATGGCGTAAACAAAGTCAGTTTGTTGACAAACACAAACATATATTCCTTAAAAGCTGCGCTAGTATCTCCTCATTTCAGCAAGGTGAAAAAATCATACATTGCCAAACTAACTTTGATCCACTTTAAGCTACTTTTGAATGAGACCTGAACTGACAGATAAACAAATACATAACACACTCAAGCCAATTGTGCATTTACTCTCTAAATGTCAGCAAAGATTTGAAGAAGCACAAAAATTGGCCAAAGATGCAGGCAACCCATGTAAACCCATGGGAACATCTGTAACTTCAGGTGGTCTCTATGGGAGCTAGTTGCCTACGATGATAATTCCAATACCCTTGAGATACCTTTGAGAAGCACCTCACCTTGATCCCCTGATGTTCTGGTTCAGGTAATGAGGGTGCTCAATGGGCACCATGAAATCCTTCTCTCCGTGGATGATCAGCGTTGGGCATGTAATCCGCCGGCAATCGGCCATGCACAGATCTGTGCGGTTCTCACTCCAGATCTGGCATATGCCGTCGATCCAACTGCTCCACAGCTTTTGGAAGTATTCCTCGCCATACAACTCCACCATTGGGGCCCGCATCCGCTCGCTCCACTTGGAGATGTCTCGGGTTGCTGAACATAGCCAAAGAAGTTAGCTCATAAAAGTAACAGTAATAATGAAGATATCTTTAATGTGCATATGGCCACAATGGCTCATACTTTAGGTGTTGTGTAAAATTATTCATACTCTCCAACAGCGGTGGAATGATTTTCAAAGTGGTGGGTGGGGCCATCAGGCATTAGCAATTAATAGGCTGACCCATTAAGCCCCACCCCATTATAGGACCTGGAAAATGTCTGGTTCTAAACATCGGTTCCAAATTCCTATCTTGATATGACTGACTCTGAGATGCAATGTTTTAACTTAAAGAGGTTTGTTGCTGGCAGCATTTCCATACCTTCATAAGCGTCCAAGTCCTTTTTTGTCACATACGCATTCCCTCCCCACACCAAGAGCTTCTGCACATGATCAGGGTATGTTGCTGCCATTATGATGCCCGTGATGGCACCGTCACTCCAGCCCAGAACCGAGTAACGATCGTGCCCAAGAACCTCCAGGTACAAGTTGGGGAAAATGCCATGTGTCAATGTTATTCAGACAAGGAAATGTTGTTCATAAGTGCAAAGGCAAGAATGATTTTCATGAGTTGACAAATTGAATGTCACCTTATGAAATTATTCTTTCCATTGCACGTATGTAAAATTGCATTATTTGTTTTATAGAACGCAACACTTGAATAAATCCTTTGTCAACTTTGTGTACCGGTCGCTATTTTGATCTGTAGGTTAAATGTAAAATTGCAACACAAAGTTCTCACATTCTAATTTAGTTAATGCTTAGACACACGCTCCCGTGCATCTTCCAATTTGCTGTTGATAGTTTGATAACCTACTTCATTTGTTTCTATCAGAAATATGACCATCACTTACAATTTGACAAACATCCTCATCTGACTGAAGACAAGCTGGAGCCACCCATTTTTCTAGAATCATCTGAAATTTTGCATTATTTTGTTCGAGGAGCCATGACCTTGCCCACCGTTTTCTTGATACAATGGTATGATCAATGAGGGGTACGTGTACTGAACAGTCTGCTGTTGATTATAGCAAATTCAAGGCACCTGATCGTTGATGTATTAGATGACGGTGACTTATTCAGGTGCAGTATAAATGCCAATATTCAGCTGATGGAAAGTCAAAAGATTTATAAGCACGTTATAAGGCAATCCTGTAGTTAAGCCCATTATAGTCTTGTTAAGTCTGATCGCAAGTATCATGGGTGAACAGTGGTAAGGAATGCCTTAATCAGAGCTCATCTGAATGCCTTGTGGCTACCATGTCCAACTGGATGACTTGTAATGAACCACTGAGGAACTGTGATGGACTTGACTACAAACCACCATCAGGCAAACACATTTACAACAAGGGCAAATTGCAAAGATTTCACGTAAAGAGACCCCAGCGAGTGATTTCTAGCCTCACCGACATCAAGCTGGCAGCATCCTTTCCATCTCGATGAAAGAAATCCAAGGGGAAGTCTCTATCGGGAGGTCGGGACTTGCCGTAACCTCTGGGGTCAAAGGTCACCAGCGTATACTTGTCCTTGCTCAGGCCCTCAAACTGTGGTTTCATGTCCACCCGACCTGATCCTGCAGGGACAAATAGTGTATCTAAACATGTGGGTTTTCTTGCTCTTATAAAAAATGGCCTTACATTTTCTGGCCAGTGCCACAAAATTAGCACTCCTTGATGATTTAGTTTTTAGAATACATGTACTGGCCTTGCGAAAGGATTGAAAAAAAGCCTAGAATTTATTAGATTTACATGCATTCAGCATGGGGTGGGCTGAGTATGCACAACCAATTTATGTTGGATGTATGGTCTTTCTACATGTGTATGTGAGTCTTGGTTCCAAGACGTAACTCTCCGTTTTGGTGTATTAACCCCTTTGCTACGGAGGACTGCTACTACCGCACCATTGTGTGAGCATTGGTGCATACCACACATTTAGTCTATTCACCATGCAGCTGCTGGTTCGATGGGGCCTGCTGCTGGACAAAGCCCTCCATTCAGGGCATACCACAGCCCAGCAGTCGCGGTCAAAATAATCCCGCCCTGAAGGGGTTAAAGGAATGCTCTCGCACAGTAAATTCTGCCAGTCAACCGAGGGCGCTATGTGACGGCTGATGGAAAAGGTTACGAATACAGACCCTTGTCCGTCACATAGCACCCTCTGTTGACTGGCAGAATTTATAGTGCGAAAGCGTCATAGGAAAGCTTTCATTTAGTAAACCATACCAACACAGATAGTCACGTATTGGAACCAAGATTAGCGATGGGTGTGTGCATGAGCTCGGTTGAAAACTTCTCACCAGCCTGTCTTATCTTTGCCAGTGAGGGTGCATTTTAACTCGGAGAGGGTACTGACCGAGAGCTCCTGGCAGAAGCAGCACTGCATGGTTCCCCTTGCCAGTCTGGTCATAGCGTAGCTCAACACCGTTCACTGCCACTTTGCTCCCCTCACTGCACAAAAAAGAAAATGCAATCAAGGAAAATGTGAAGACAACACACCATCATTCATTAATTGTTGAGCTAGTAATATAGTCCAAGTAACTAGGACTCTACAAATTGCCTTTTTTAACATTTGGACACAGTCAGCAATGTTAAAAGAGGTGATCCATGGAGTCCTAGTTACTTGGACTAATATATAATGGGTACCCTCTTCCCCGGTCTCCCCTCCCCCCAAACAAGAGGAGGTGGCAGCTGAAAAGACAAATATTCCAGTGTAACCCACAAACAATTTTTTATTTGTCTTCCTCTCTTTTCAATTTTTGACAAAAGCCTTGGGCAAAGTGGCGCGTGGGCGAAGTGGCGCGTTGGGCAAAGTGGCGCGTGGGCGAAGTGACTGTAAATCATCCCCAGGGAGTCAAGTGATGCCCGTACATGTATTTGGAAGGTTCCCACCTTCTCCTTGAAATACCTCAAATTTCAATATTTCGTGCAGTGAAGAATCTCCTGTATTACTCTAAAATAGGTTAGGCACAAGTGCAGAAAACCCCACCACTCACGTATTCCACCTCAAAGACGGCTACAGAGTCACGCTTTATGACTGCCTACCAGCCGTACCTATGTTGTTAAAAATGCGCTCTTTGTAGTCTAACCCCATAGCTGGCAACGGGGTAGTCCGCTTGGACTTACATATTTCCAAACAATTCCAATTCCCCATATCCACATTGCCGGCTATAGTGTTTGGATTTTACAGTTTGTTGGTTCCATCATGAACTGAGGCATCATTGATAGTTCCTGCACCACAAACCGATGTATCGTGTATACATAAAGGTCTATGGATGGGTGGAGTGTTGTTCAATTTGCCCCGTTTCCATTTCACCCCATTGCACTTCGCCCCTTACCACTTTGCCATATTGCCACTTATAGCAAAGCCCCCCCCCTCCCACTTAGCCCCACCCCACATCACCCCACTACCACTTCCCCCTAATTTCCACTTTGCCCCAGCCATGCTTGATTGTGTTTGGAAACTCTGGCATAAACAAGGCGCCTTTACCAGGCATGCAACTTGGGCTTTGACAATAAAAAACGAGGAAATTCCAATCTTCACCAGACTTTGCACAAAATGTTTCATTTTTCAATGACATGAGCGAGAAGTGAAAAAAAAGGAAATCAGCTGATCCAACGAAAAGTTGCACGCCTGCTTTTCATAGGTGGCATGGATTAACAGCACATGACAATGGATCTCATAATCATTGGAGTAATGAAAGAAACGATATATCATTCCTTTTAATTTTCATCAAAGTTCCCTGTAATCTTCTCTCATTTCAATCCTTTCGTTTGAGCCATTACTTTTGTGAATCTGTTTCCAAACTTGACGTTTGAAGACAGAAAGAAAAATGCCTGTCTCTCCTCTATATTCTCCTTTAGCAATTATATTTGCTTGAGAGTTCATGGGCTTAACTTCAAAGTAACTAGACCACGGGAGGTAGAAACAGTTCCATGATTAGACGAATGCAACAAACACATCACCGGGTGGTAAGATGGATAATCTGACCGGCATCCATGGACTGACACCTGAGACTGTCCGACACTAAAATGCAACAAGAGTCACAGTGCCGTTAAAGTTTCGATAACCATATTTTATGTGAAGCATGCGCATGCAATTACAATTCAACATAACTTCACTCCTTACGTCGCTGACTTCACTGCATTAAAAGAATTAAGATTATTGCCTGGCCACGTGACTCCGTATTTACCCACATGCATGAGGCAAAGTTTTCACTGGGGTGAAGTGGCAATGGGGCAAAATGGCAATTAAATGGGGCGATGCGGTTAGGGGCAAAGTGGAAATGGGGCAAAAAGTGACTGTAAAACCTATGCCATGGATGGTACATGTACACATCATTTCGTGGTGCACCAAACCAAAGAATTCTTTGCTGAACAACTACATGAAGGCCTTGTCATTGCCCCAGGGCTGGCTTGTCATGGCAGTCTAGCCACAGATGCAGCATAGGCCTAACTGTGTGCCTGTGTATCTCCCTATACACAGAATACAATGTACATGTAGGCCTACTCAAATTCTCCTCGTAGGCCTGCTACTACTACTAGTGATAGTAAGGAGGGGGCCTATACATGTATTTGGTTGGGTCCAATTGCCCTTTGCTCGGTCGGCCGTCGGCGGACAATACATCCGTACCCCCACAACCGTGGTGTCCGACGTCCGCTGCGCTCCCACACGAGCGGGGCAGACGCTCGACCCCACCTGCCCACAGTTCTAGGGTGCCAACCTGGCCTAGGGTGCCGGGTATACATGCCGGACGCAGCGCCTGTGCTGTGCAACTAGCCACTCACTCCATGCACTACGAGATTCAGTCAGAAAAATTAAATTGAAAAACATAGAAATCAGATATTTACCTGGCAATGTTTCTTGCCACCACTCTTCTCATGCTCGCATCAACAGCCTTGACAAGAGTGGACAACCCCGTACACTTTGACGAGAAGTAGAGGAAAGGAAAGGCCATTTCCCTAATTGGACCTCTTCAGCTGCTCCTGGTTCCTAGGCCTCCGGTCCGGTCACGTCGATGTCCTATATAAAATTGGGCAGCGCCCTCAAGCAAGTCTTTCAGGAATCAGGAAACTTGAGTTCTTGTCATGGTATGGACACGCTAATGTTGGAGTTATCGCAAAATCGTTTCTTTTTTTCAGAGCACGTTTGCTTCAGAAAACGGGAAAAGACATCCCAGTTGCTAGCCTGGAGTTATTGTTGGCCTTAAGTGATTAGACTAACGTGAGGCTATATTTCCCCGCAAATGGCATGAATGGTCTGATCTATCACTCAATGTACATGTAACCATGTTGTTTATGGCTAAATTTTCATTTCCGTACGCGTGTGCAGTCTAGTAGCAAAAGCTTGAAAACGTCTGGTCACAGAGCTTTGGAGTGGTTGGCACATGATGGGGCCATTTATCATATGGTTGAACCAAGCATGGACCTGGCTCCTGAACTGGGTTGCCCATTTAAGTCAAAGTGTAAAATACTGAACCATCGCAAATGCTTGGGTTATCCCCAGAACTGTTGGCTTTGGAAAGTTTGCTGCACTCCCACGCATTAGACTTGAACCCCACAGTTCTAGGGGTAATGCTGGGGTGTCGTAAATAAAGCGCTAGTCCGAGTAACTTGGACTCTACAAATCAGCTCTTACATTTCAATGTGGTGAGGTAATTGAGTCCAAGTTACTCAGACTACGTAGACATAACTTTAATGAGGCATGTGTTGGGGTTTATTGTGGCTGATCATGTGGACAACGAAGGAACTAGTTTGAAAAGTAAGATTGATTTGTTGGCCTGCAAACGTGCGATGGTTGATGCTGAGGTCTTTCCAGGTATTTCTGTAGTCTTAGCCACTCTACCAGTAGTTTGAAAATAAAGCTCCTTCAGTTTCCATTTGAATTACATACATGTAGATATTGATTTGTTATTACATTGTAGGTACTGTCAGCATGTGCCAGCATTTGCCTGTTCACCTTTCGGCTGCTGTGACCATTTGCGAGACTATCGAGAGCCTCGTGAGGGACTCTGTTGGTCCCAATGGACTTCATACTATGTTGACGTCCTCCTCGGGCAGCGTAGTGATAACTGGTGATGGCCACACCATCTTGTCATCATTGCACCTGTCTCACCCTATTGCCAGATGGATTGTGGAACGGATCAGGTGCCATCACGGCATCACAGGAGACAATTCCAAATCATTTGTTCTGATAGTCACTGAGATATTGAGGCGGTTGCAAGATGCAATTGGTCCCACAGGAGCAAGCTCTTCCGTTTCTTCCAAGAAACGAGACCTGATTGAGATAGGTCGAGCCTTGGAAGTGATCCAGGAAGAGGTTTTTCCCCAAATGGTGTTGCCAGAGCTCCTGAAACACTGCATGTGTTTGGACATAACCAAGGCAAAGCAAGAAGAGGTAATGAACATCTGCAAGAAGATTGTGGGAACTAATCTTGGAGGGAGGTTCACACCACATGTGACTGAGCACATGACAAAGTTGACTGTCGATCTAGTTAGCGGCTGTTGTGATGACATCAGCAGCTTTGCAGAAACCATACGGGAGCTTATCAGCGAGTATAATGTGACCTGTATTGAGGTCCCGAACACGCCTATCAGTAAATCCAAACTTCTGGATGGTGTTGTGCTAACACGAAACTTTGCCGTTCAGTCAGAAGATCTTGATTCGTTGACTACCGTGCCATTTATCATTCTTAGTTGCCCCCTTAATAAGTGGACTCCAGATGTCTGCTCGACATTGGCAGCAGGGAGTAAGGAAGACTTGTCCAGATTCCTCCAGTTTGAAACATCTTGGACTCATTCGCTAATTTGTCATCTCAGGGAGTATGGTGTGAAGCTTCTCCTATCGTCTGAGCTTCTCTCTGATGCGACGCTGTCCTTCTGCAGGGCTGCTGGAATTTCTGCAGTTCACATGATCCCGGAGGACGAGCTGAATCGACTTGCACGCCTGACAAAAACTGACATCGTTCATGACCCCGTCGATATCCTGACTTCTGCTTTAAAAAGAGGCACTGCCAGTTTTTGTAGATCTGTTATAGTGGGGCGGTGTGTTGGTGTTCAGTTAGGCTTCAGTAATGCTACGGTACATTCTAAGCAGCTGGTACTTTGTGGACCAACTCAAGGTATATGCAGGCAGTGGTTCATTGCGGTACTCAATGCCCTCAAAACCCTCCAGATGTGGTTGGATAATAGCTGGCTTTCTGCCGTAATGACAACAGATGCAGACAATGTCAGTAGAGCTTCAAATGGAAAGTCCGAACATTCCGGTATCACCTTGGCGTACAATTCTGCAGAAAGCTTAGAGCTTTCCAGCGCACAATCTTGCAGCCTGGACATGCAAGACGAGACTGCTGATGGGGATAATTTGGAATCTAGTCTCGGCACAACAAGCGTGTGTCTGCCAAAACACCAACTTTTGCAGCAGCAAGGAATTTGTATACCTGGAGGAGGGTGTACAGAATTCCTTTTACATAGGATATTTCGTACATTGGCTAGCGGATGCAATGAACATCACGACTTGAAAGCAAGAGATCCTTCCTTCATTACGGCTGCAGGCATTCTGTGTGAGGCTGCGCTGTGCATACCCAGAACCCTACACAGGAATTCGGTGTCCCCTCAGAGTAAGAAATCATCATTTTTAGAGATGGCATCTAAAGTGCAAGACTGTAGTAGCCTTGTCGGTGTGAATGGTAGGACAGGGGCTCTCTGTGACCCTGCTGAGAGAGGTATCTTGGAACCGGTGTCAGCGAGATACATTTTGTGGAGGGACTCAGTCAAAATGGTGCAAGACCTTCTTAAGATTGACATGATTCTTGGTGTGAGAGCAGTACCAGGCAAAGGCTGCTCTAACACAAGTGATGATGACTCTGACGGGTGAACATTAATAATTGTGTACCGACCTTGGGCAGAAAGTTGCGAATACTTTGAGAGTTTTATGAAGCGATCTAGTGAATGCCTCTGTGACTGGAATTTTCATTGATTGAGAATGGGAAGTTAACGTTTTAATTTTTATATATCACTCTATGGGTAGTAATGTTGTCACAGAGTGTGAGCAATTTTCAATTCCTGAAAGAAAAATGACTGCATGTCTTCAGAAGGCAACTCCCCCAAGCCCTGTCCTCAACCCAATATATAGATGTTTGTCTGTTTGTTCTTCATACAAATTTGTATAGGTTTGTTACAAAAGAAAGAAAAACCTCTTCACCACAGAAGTTATGTGAACAAAGCAACTCTTTATTTAAACATTTATAAAATCAGTGCAGGGTCTGAGGGCGAATGTACAGAAATGACGTGCAATAACAGTAACGTCACAGTTGTATCTCGGTTTTGCAGAAAGTACTGCTGAAAAGTGTACTTTTTAAAATACATGTAGCATTTCAAACGGTGGAGAGTTGATCTCGTATAAAGTTTTGAACAAAAGATGCAATCTGCCCATTCCCTAAAAACCCTACATTTCTTGTTGAGTTAATCTTTCAAAAGAGATGATATTGCAATAACACTGAAAACTCTACTGTATTCGTCTCTCAGAGGTTTTAAATAAAAGTCCCATATTTTGTGTGCCAAATATTGGACTTTATACGGTACACTGAGCTGTCCTTTTTTTGTTTTTGCAAATTCATCAAGGTGTTTCACCACTGGAAACTTCAATCTCAAATAATTTGGTTTACCTTTAGACTCCATTTCCAACTTGTTCATAATACGTGACTTCTAAAAGACCAAATCAAGACCGGGGCCTTAAGTGCCAAGAGAAAACGCAGTTACTGTATGAACAACTTCTCTTTGTATTTTTCTTTCCCTTTCGGCACTTCAATAAATGTATTTTGAAAAGTGAGGGCTTGTTTTTTGGACAGAATCTTCATTTAAGGTGGAAAGTGCAATAACATTTACATCTTCGTGACAATATCAATACTACTGATATTGCATAACATATTACTTTTCAAAAACAGCTCTATGTGATTTATACAAGTAAATAAATCCTTTCAGAACAATTTCAAGTACTATTTATTAATACAATTTGGCGTACTCTGTAGCACATTTATCAAGTAAATTAAAGTTGTATCAGTCCAATATGGTTTAAATATATTAACACCGAAAAGAAGTAAGACGAAATCAATCTTAAACTTTTTCTACACAAAGATTCTCCTTGTCTTATCATATGACCCATATTTCGTCATCGGTCTTACAAATGACACAACTGAAAGAGCATTATGCAAGTGACGATCGAGTGGGAGCGAGTGTGCCCAAGAGCCTGGTATGTGTGATGGTATGTACAGGCCACCGTACAATAACAAATCTCTATTTTGTTTTACAAAGTACTGCTTCTCGTGGCATGTAAATGTATGTGCACACCATCACACGCACACACTGTGAGGCATGGCAGCTTGTTCATTTCACACAGTGGCCAGTCACGTGACCAGTGCTTTCCCACTGGTTGCAAACTCCACTGGCCAAACTTGAGTTGTCAAGCCGGCTGTCAAATCGACTGAAAGAGCACACAACAGTTTTATTTGCAAATCATTTTGTTCCACGTCGCGGTGACAAGTGGACGGAAGAAAAAATTTCAACTTACAGTTGATGAAAAAGCGGCAAGCTGTGTCTACACGATAAGACGCCTCTTTGGATTGATTTAAGTCCTTGCCTTACAAGCTTCAAGTTTTCAAGTACATGTATTTTCTAAACCCAATGCCGACCAGGAAAACACCGCTCATGTGACCGTGTCTCTCTGCCCCTCTTTGCCACTGTACACATGGACAGACTGTACAGTCTCTTGGGATGAATGCAAAGGGTTTATCCTACATGCAGAAGGGAAGTATAGGTACATGTACTGGGTGGGACTTCATCTCTGGACTATAGCACACATGCTTACTAAGTTACTTGAACAAAGCCGGAAGTTAAAATTGTTTACCAAGCACACGTGTAAACTTTGAAATCCATACTTTATGCATATATTGTAATGATTAGAATGCGACTTTGGAATACTTTGGTTTGGCAGTTACACTGTTCTTGTATCTTTTGGCCTAGAGCGAGCCTGACATAGAGGCTTTGTGCGGTAGCCATCTTGCAGGGCAGTTCTTTTGTTCCACACAGAAATCGTCTTTATGCATACCCTATGGAACAAAGCACTGACCTGCAAAATGGCAGCCATGCAAATGCTCTATACTAGCCAGGTGTGGTAATGGCTAGAGCTGACTGATTTCTCACAACATGTGTATTTCATTCTCCAAGCCACAATGGTTGCTACAGTGTCAATGTACGTGTATATTTAGGAGAGTTTACAACAAAGGACAAGAAAGCTAGAATAGGACCAGTACTTCTCGTTCGCTACCAAGCGTTTAAAAAATGATAGTACAATGAGCTGTGTTTGGTATTCCAACTGGAAAAGCCAACATCAGGATTTGATGACATGCACATGTGGATAAACAAAGCAGAAATGTAGTGGGCAATATCTACAAACCAAACATGTGACCTGCTATTTTTCCTACTATTTAAGGTAGTGACAAACATTGTCCAGATGGAAGGGAGGATAAAAAAGTACTGGGAAACATGGAGCAGTCCTAAGCGTTTGTTAATTTGCCCTTACCTTTGGAAATTTTTTTTTCAATTCAGTGGATCGCTTCTCGCAGCACAAAAATCATCAAGTGCTGATGTATGTGCAACAAGACTATCACACTGGCTCTCTACTTATTACAAATGCGCACCATTATTAAACTTATAAACTTAAGCATAACATCTGAATTAATCATAAAGTAAATGCATATGCACTTCAATAAATTACTCTAACATGTATCTTATGAAACAAAATAAACAATACACCAAACTAATTGCCATTGCACATTTAACTTCTATATAAGGTGTGACGGACATCTACTCTTTAGCATGACACTAAAGCCTGGTTTACATAAGGTTGTAACAAACACTGACTGCAAGCAAGATGCAGACAGTTGTGGAAGAGATGCTGCGTGACATCATTCCGCCAAAAACATTAAACAAAATGGTGTCTGACACTCCGAAAAGTTTCACATAAAATGTCGTTTTTGGCAACATCACCTCTTGAAGCCAAACTGATACTCCAGTTTGATGTATTTGTCTATGGTCAGCTATTTTGTTGACATTTGAGGCTGCATATGTAAGTGTTAAACGAGAAAACGGGCAAAATAAGTGGTACTAGGCAAGAAGACATAGTTGTATGCCCTTTTATGCCAGCGTTGGTGTTTGTATAGGCCTTTTCTGGTGACTCAATGCAGACATAGGGCCCCGGATCCAACTTTCCTGACTGTCTACCAATGTTTGCATTAGTCATGATAAAGTGTTTCCATAGCATTGCGTACATGGATAGCCAAGAACTGATCAACAATGCTGTGTGTCTCTTTACATCAATATGGAAACCAGGCTTAATAGTGGAAGTGCTATAGTTTGGGTGAACACAAGGAAAAAACTTTTCCTTATCAGTTTGATCAGAACCAAAATATACTAAACAGAAATAATTTTTTTACATGCTTGGGTACCAACCAAAAGTGTCACGTGATTATGTTGCAAGTGGCTGGTAATCTTCTCAGCTAGAAAATCATGCGCTTAGCAAGAAAGTTGGCTGAGTGTGATCGCTAATGTATCCATGAAATTCAGGACTAGTTCCAAATCTGCGTAACTGAGTTAAATCTCGAGTATAAACACAATCACCTTCACAGTACCGACTTATTTCATGACTACTGTCGCTTTTTTCCAACACAAAGAGCATTCAGTGAGTTTACAATATCTAGAGAGAGTTTTCGTGAAATGAAAGAGGTTAAAGGAAATGAATCAACAGCGAAGAGGTAACATCAGTGTGCGTCAACTCGTAGCTGAGCAGTTATGTATGAGGTATATGGCTATAACAAAAACTAAACACTGAAGACAGAAATATTGAAATTGGTAATGTTGTTCTATCCTTATGCAAAACGTAATGATGTGGGAACGTATGTCTCAGTGTCATTGTTTGCAGAGAAATAAGTGCGTGGCCTCAGAAACTTACATTGTGGTTACAAAAAACTGGTAACTGAGACAATTAAACAACAACAATTAAAACGTTTTTTACAAAGCTTTACTTTGGTATTCAATTTATGGCAAGACTTGCACAATACTTTTGAAATGGACAAGCTGAGTTTTTAATGCCTTGAACAGCAACAGTGCCAGAGCATGGATATGTAGCACAATCGGCTGTCAACTACTGTAAGACCATTTGCTGTTTCTCTGCAATTTAACTCCCCCTGAAATTTGATGGCCGCCCTGTCCAGACAATGCTCCGGTCCCTGAAATCTGACAGGCCGGGATGCCAGGCAGCGCCGATCTGCGTGGTGTAACTTTTCCAACTGAGTTGAAGGTGGGTTGGACTTGATCAAGGCAAGAATCTGTCTTGATATGTTGGCTGTTTAGTCTCTGACTTTACATTCATACATAAAGACTGAAACTGTGTACAAGTTCTTTGTGGCATACCAAACAAAAAAATTCATTTTTTTAAAAAGAAAAATCAATTACATGCTGAGTATAAGGAATTCTATGGTATTTGAAAACCTGAACATTGATATTTTGGCATTAATTCAGTACTTTCAATAATGGAATGCATCTAGACTTATTGTTGGCACGGGTAAGCAAAACTGCAACCTACTACATAAAAGGAAGTAACTCTTTTTACTTAAAAAGGATGTTACTTGCTTAGGCAAATTCACACATATAGAGCCAATGATTTTCCGTTTCAAAAAATGGGTACTTTCCATTTCGCCAAGTCCTGAATTCCACTACAGAAATTCACATTCCGTTTCGTACCTTAGTAAGCATGAAAAAAGAGAGCAAGTTGCAAACTATGTATGGAAACCATTTGCTCAACCATACTCCCCACCCATCCCCCCCAAAAAAAAACCCAAAAAAGAAAGGAAAAGAAAAGAAAAAAATATTGTTTGGAAATACTCTGCAATGTTTCCAACTTTAAAAAATAATTTTCTGTAGTGAAAATATAAAAAAATCCACACAATAAATATGAGATTCCCCACCTGTTGATTTCCCATCTGCGAAATAGTCCAGAACTTTCTACAGTTAATCGACAGACAATTCATGAGTCTCTCCTCATGTATAAAAATCACATTGCATTTAAATACATGCACAGTGAAGTCACAGACTAGGTCTTGCATACAACAGTTGTGGATTACAATACGGTATGTTAATGTTGGACATTGACCAGCTATTTTATTTGGCAGTGGTGTGACAAAATTCAGACAGTTAACATTAAATCCGAGCCTTAAAATGCACGTTTGTGACTGAAAACTTTACTCTTCATTGTACACTTTCAAGGGCCCACACAGCTATGGAACACCAAGCTTACTGGGTTTCATTTAATGCAAGAAATATGTAATAAGTCTTCTGTTTTGCTGCCATGGTTTCATTGTTTCGCTATGCGGTACTAGCCTTGTCTCAAGGCGTCTACGCGGATTCACAGACTGGATGCCCCACGTGTGCAATAAACATATGTGTGTAGGAACTTGTTTGTGCCTTGATTTCATTGCTAGTACGGTGCATCCATGTGTGAACAGCCGATGTGTGTACTGTACCGCACTGCTGCACTGTGATGTGCTGGCCGCCACAAGCGCTGCACACATGGGGCTCACGCACGCCATAAGGCTTGCAAGTATCGGTACCGGCGCGATGACCCAATCACGTGGTGGAGTGGTGCAATTTAGCATGTTTTCAGCATAATTCGTTCATTAAAAGCAAAAAATTTTAAAAGGGTTTGGTAGGCATTTATCTAAGTACTTTGCTTTTTTAAGCCATTCTTAGTGGGAAAGTTTGCAAGTTCCATTTCAAGCAGTGGATTTCGTTTCAAAGTGTTGATTCCATCCGTTTTCCGCGATAACGAAAAATCACTGGCTCTACACATGTACCTTAGAAATCATGCTGAGACCATCAAAACTACCCAACCAGGTGCTGCTCCAGATTCCAGGTTCTCCACGATTGTCTTTTTATTTTTGGACTGACAGCAATTGATTTTTTGGAAAGCTTCCAACTTCTGAAGAGCAATCCTCCCCCAAAACTGTGTACAAGAGAATGTAACATCACCCACATAAGGTACAAGGGTGTTCATCAAAGGAGGAATCACTTTGGTACTTCTTTCCTTTCTGATCGACATGACCCAGTTGGCAAGGTGGCCAAGGCACAATTAAGCTTGCTGCCAGGATTCCTATTATGTTAGGAGAAGTAACAAATCATGTATTTTTCAAAATAATCCAGAGAAAACACAAGGACAAACTGTCATTTTCATAGAGAGCAGATGCAACATTGACATCGCAGCCAGATATTTCCAAACTTTCGAGTGTGAAAAAGGACAAGCTTTGATCAACGACTTACATGACAACATTTGCTGTCTGGAGCCCTATCTCCTCCCTATTTTCGACCAACAAATGGTTTCACAGGAACCCAATTAAACTTTCCTGGCTGCAAGCCTGTGGAACACATCTGTCACTGCCATCTTGTTTAGCTTTTTTCTTCTGATCATCTGACCCCGGGGTAAATCTTGATTTTGTCAGCCTTGCGGAGATTCTCCATGATGGACTGCTCAAAGTTGCTGTCGTGGACGCCAGTCTTCTTGAAGAATGAGTTGTGAGTGCCGTCGTCTTTCTTCCAGTAGTGGTCCCAGTTGCCCAGCTTGTTAGCCCCATAGCCAAAAAGGTCCACCTGACATGGGTAAGTGGTGGTTAGAGAGTAATTTCAAAGCATATTCAAGTTCTCTCTGCACTATCTCTTCCTTTCAAAGATTTCCTCCCTTCAAGGACCCCCACTTTTACTGTCTGTTCCGTACAAAAAGAGAAGGCATATTTTCACAGAGGAACAACTACCCTCTGGTGGGGGAAACAAAGTGTACCACAACAAGTTCCTGTACAGTATGTAAACCATGACACCATGACATTAAGGCTTGACTTTCAGCTTGTCTATTTGCCTGTGAGGTGGTGCTCCTCGTCCGTACTGAGATTTGGGGGGGGAGGCCCTCAAATCACTCCACCAAAAAGTAAGAGGGCCAAAAGACCAAGTTCAGAAATAAAAAAGTCATGATGTACAAGCTTCTATACAGTTAAGAAATATATCTAGACCCTTTAGGAAGACAGGTGACCAAATTCCAAATCAATCCATACCTCGTCGCATATCTGCAAGGCGAAGAATAGCGCTAAGTGACCAGTTGATGGGTACCGGCCGTGTTTCTGTGTCCATTCAGTGTGAACATGGTGCATAAGGGCTGGGTTGTAAATCATAACCTGTTGAGGCGTGAACGAAGAATTGCGGATGTTGGAGTGTGAATACTTAAAACGTTCAACCTAAAGATTTCAAATATTATTCACCAGCGAGCAACTGGTATCTCTTGCGTTTATTTGATTGCCAGAGCTGAATACAGAGAGACTTTTCCAGCAAATGTAATTTGTAGGATTAAGTAAGCATCACACAATTCCCTCACTGGATTTGCTGAGTCAAAGGAGGTACCGGTACCAAGGGAAAACCTGACAGAATTTGGAAATGTAACAGGTCTCATTCAAATTAGCTTTAAATTTCAACCACACTTGGGCAAACGAAATTTACAAGCGGGTAAGGACTTATTTCAATGAAGTGTTTCTTGAATGGCATTTTAATTTTTAGAAGTTCAAGCTTCAATTATTTTACAGTTTCAGAAGGTTACAAGTTATGAAACAACTGAAATGTGTACAGCATTAAAATATCTGAGGGCAATAAATTGAAAGGGTGAGCAAACTGTTTTCGTTGTTTTCCTTCTGCTAAGATTCAGCCTCAGGCCACGTTTAAATTTGGCTTCAAGAGTTATGGATGTGTCTACTCTTCCCTATTAAATTGCAACCAGCGAAGACCTTGCCGAAACGTTAAGAGTTAAAGTAAAAACAAACAGTCACTAGTGAGAAGGGAAAGGAAATCTTGTGCACAAAGTTGGAATTTCAATCCACCACACACCTTGTCTCTACTGACACTGATGCTTTTCTTGACCGTCGTGTATGTTCTACAAGAGGAACCAGACAAAAAGAGACAATGTAACAGATGCTGTATTGTTAGAGTTTCAAGTACAATTATGGGGAAACAATGGAAAGAGTGTTTAACAGGTGGTGGCAGCTGCGTCAGTCAGGTAGACATGGGCAAAAGAAAAAGGCAACACTTCACTGACTATCATAAAGTAAACACTTCCTTATTTCCAAAAAGCAAGGCCGTTCAAGAACAAAGCATGTATGTGAATTGGTGTATGGCCGTGCTGATGAGGCAGATCTGGTGTGCGCACTGCTGTTCCCAGATGACCTCGGATGTGCTTCACTTATGCAGCTGGACTACCGAGTTGGGGTCATTCATGCCCAAAGCAGGCTTTCAAGGCCACGACTGTGTCTGCTATCAGCTGGTGCCCACATTTTTGCAACCAGCCACACATCAAACAGCAATTTCTCCATCTTGTTCCCATCAAATGAGTCGCAATGTACCAGTGTCATGAGCTACCCTCTAGCCCTCCAAGTGAATCCTTCGCATGTCCAAACAGCTTGGGCATAACAATTACATGTTGGTGCACCATTAGTTAGACACACTTACCGGTACAATACTGCATGTTAGTATTTCCTTCTGGGTATAGCGTCTTGGTTACCAAAGAAATTTCAGGAATTTTCAGGGATTGTACACTGTAAAACTAACACAGTTTTCAATGTTTCTTGCTGGACTGAAATATAACAAAGCGGATACAGCGAATGTTTTTGTCAGGAGGGATGAAGAAGGCACAACGTTTACAGCAAATATAACTTACATACTTTGAAAATCATGGTATAAGTAGCTGTAGTTAACAATCGAAATACAGGAAGCCGATTATCCCCTCCTCCCCTGATCTACTTTTGAGATTTAGGATGGAAGTAGAGCATGGGAATAAACTTGGCCAAGCTACTTCCATACTTCGACCAGACTGCCGCCCCCGGGTCAACATACATGTACCTTGTGATGGTGCCATTGGTCAGAGCGCTGGTCAGCCAGGCAACGTCCAACAGCTTGAAGTCCATCAGTACAAAGTTCACATTGGGGCGTGGATTGAGGAAACTCTCTGGATACATGAAGCGATGGGTCTCTTTACTGCCCACATCACTGGAAAAGCCTGCCATCGGTGCCTTGTTAATTCTGTTTCGTTTTAATTTAACAGACAGAAACAACTTCAACTCTCCAGGAATGGTTTAGATTGTGCCACAGAGCATCAAGAACCAGATCTGATGTAAGAACTCTGCATACAGATCTACAGTCTAGTTTGCTTATCTTTGGGAGAGAAAAAAGTCCCTGTTCTCATCTTTTACAAACATCTTGGCTGCGCAGAAATGATTTGCTGGATCCATTGATACTGACTAGCCCAAAGCCTAAACTGGCCAAACTCAAGCACATGGATTTGCAGGATGCTGGTGGTTACTGTTCTTGTCTATGTTCTTGTCCTAACAAAGCTTGCAATAATAGAGTTTTCTTTGATAGGAATGGGTACCTTTTGGACGGGACTGCTCATCGTTAGCCTGATTTTGTCTCTAGCATGCTCGTATCAATTGCATTCAACTGTATACATTGCATACATTGCGCAGTCAGGCAACACCATGCACAATGTTGGAGAGAGGAGACTCAGGAAGATGTTCTCGTAAAAATCATGGGGTTAGCTTTAAGATGCAGCTACAAAATTAAAAAACATTCTGATCTTGTTTTCTACTAAACTGCAAAAAGATTTCATGGATGGCTATGTACCAGTGAATCACTCCCACGTTGCTGAAAGGGTAAATGACTGAAGACCTGCTTTTGTGTCTCGGGAGGCACTAATATCTTTGCCGGGGGCAAAAAGAAATGCGAAGGACAGATAGTGCTGAGCTTAAGCCCACCTGAAGACAAAGTCGTGGGCGTCGATCAGCTTGCCATAGTTGCTGTTACGGAGGTTTCCCGAGTTGCCGACCACGGCGCAGCGCAGACACCGCGAGACGTCCCGCATGTGATACGGATCGTCCCCAGGGATGACCTGCAGTGCTGCGCTGATCACCTCGGAGATGTTGTCAATCTTGCTGTTCTGCAATGTCTGAGTTAAGATCAAAAAAAGAGGAAACACAAGATACACCGAGCGGAGAAGGAATCAAATGACAAACACTTCACAAGCTTTTAGGAACCTGGAGAAAATATTACAAGGCAGCGTGGGAGTATGCCTTTATTCTGAGAAATAAAGATACAAGTGACTGCGTCTTAATCCATAAACAGCTGAAATTGTAAGATCTGTGTAAACTAGATTCTTCAGAAAACTGACTTGAATTAAGCGAAAAAATGGCTGATGTCCTTTAAAAGGGAAGTAGCGGTAAAAAAACATGGAATTAAATGATTCAATGCATGTACATGTAGATGTTTTGTGCTCGCTCACAATTTGGCCTTGGAAAGCCTCCACAAAATGATTAGACTGTTGGAAAACGTAAATGTACATGTTCACAGAATCCCCTTTTAGTGTTATGTATGGACCATGGACCTGTCTTTACAAACTACTCTCTGGAAGGGGAGAGCGACAAATAATGCTTTTGTACAGACACCTCTGGAAATGCTGATTTTGACATGATGATGTCTGCATGAAGAATCAAAAGAATCCGCAAACTCGATCAGATGTACCGCTCATTGCATTTTTCCTTCACATAAAGGTCTTTCTTTTCGTTACACATGTATTTATGAATCAATCTGTGAAATAACGCTTTGTATTTTCTGAATGTATTCTGAATGTACTTTAGCACGTTTACTAACAATATTGACATGAAAAGTAATTTCACAGCATGATAGAGAGAGCACGGATAAGAGAGTCTAAATAAAATGTGAGTGTACAACACCAAAAAAACCCCTTACTTTCCACCAAAGTGTGACCTCCGTAGGTAATTTCTTGTTATGCTGTGTCCACAGTGGACTGAGGCTAGCGTTGAACTTTAAATCAAACCACAGTGATTCTCCCTTCAGCCAGAGTCGTCGGCAGCCATCTGTCATGTTCAACATGCCTTGGAGGTGCACCTTTTCCGGGACAGTGAGCTCCGTCTCAAAGAGGTGCCGGATGGACGTCAGGGAGAAGAAGCCGGGCACTCGACCCTCCCTACCCCGAGTGCGGCTGACCCCGCCCTCGCTAAGGAAGAGGTAGACGGAGAGGAAGAGAAGTAGGGCAGCCGCAAAGACTGTGGGCCGAAGGCGGGCTCTCATTGTCCCAAGGGCAAGTCTTCCTTGCTGTGGAAGCCAGGACAGTGTTCATTTGGTTTTTTTCGGCAAGTCACACTGAAGTTCAGATATTGATGGTTTGGAATAGATGGTCTAACTCTGATGAAGATGCAATGAGACTGTAATTCTCAGCTGAGTTGCCCTGTGGGAAAACAATTTTTCAAGCCAATGTAAAAGCCATTGGCTCATTCTTTTGAATTAAAGCTATCACGCAAGAGAACAAGATGAGGCATTTGTATTTCTTTCACATATATCCAAGAAAACTAGGAGGAGGTGGAATGACTTGAGAGATGTTTCATTTATTTTTTTGTCATTTTGATATATCAATAACACTAAAAAAGAGGCCTACACAACTGGTTTAAGCACTCATGGTACTGATATGAATTTTGTGATATACATGTACATGTGCATGTATCAGAAGTGAATAACTTTCCAAACTCACAGTTTCGAAAATTTTAAGCCTCCTTGCTTGGAACTGGGTAAAACTGTACAGCGTTGCTCAATTCAAAGAGAGATATTGATGAACAAAAGGACAGGAGTCACCAAACCTCAAAAATCCACGTACTGCTTACTTCTCTAGGGTCACACGTCAACACCCAAGCACTGACTGATCTTCTGAAGCTCCGCCCACTAGATACTAACCACAGCATTCTCGTAATACCACTCAAACATGCAAACCTGCCCTTACACAGAACAGACCATTTATCACACTGCGATAGTTCTGGGAAAGATCCCACTCACATGTTCTGTTTTTGCACTAGAGTTCAACTGATGCTAGCAAGTACCAGGAAACACAAGTACGGTACCGCTGGTCAGGCCATGCTAAGGTCCGCAAATGTCATTAAGTTTAAGAACACACATGTAAAGGCTAAATAATCTCTCATTTCTACACGCACATGCACATGTACAGTCTCAACCCACACGTACGTTTCCATATGTACAGTGTGTACCGGTATTTGACATGCAACTGTAAAGAAAAAAAGAAGAAAGAAAAAAAGGAAATTTTCTGCTCCTCGAGACTACAGTGTCATTAATTTATAATGGCACAGAACATTGAAAATAAAAAAAACAGTGACCCAAAAAAAAAAAAAACAACCCAAAAAACAAACCCCCCAGCAAAACAAAACAAAACAAAACAACGAATCAGCTATGGTACTGTGAAGGCATGATGTTCTGTGTGCCTCATCTCCCTGGGCTTTATGAAATCACAATGTTCTTTTCACTGGTATCTATTGCAGATTTAAAATCAGTAAAAAAGGTATCTTGTCTCTTTATTCAGAATACATCGGAAGGTTTCCACTTATTTTTGCATGAGCAACAGTTTGAACTGCTCCCTGAGCACTGTTAGAGGTACATGTACATGTATGTGTGCCATATTTTAATTTGGTAGATTGCCAGTCCAAGACAGTTGAAAAAAAATCATGGACACTGACTGCAATGTAATATATAGTTTCTACAAAAAATGTAGCAATCCAGTTCTAAATGACAAATTTTATAAAGGGAAAAACATTCAGATGTCAAGTGCAGAAAAACAACAGAAAAAAAGACAAAATTTGTTCAACCTTTTGCCTACAATCTTAAAAAGAAAACCAAAATCTGGCATGAGTATTCCAATCACCAATTTTGAATCTTAGGCACATTTTCGATTTTGTTGCCATGACACATACATGTACACGTGTAAGTGATATGCTCCATTGAACTTTCTTTTCTTACATTTTTCCCAGGTCAATGCACAGCCTTTGAGCCAACACTGATGTCTTCAGGACGCACACCGCTTGTCTCAAAACCTCGCCATTCATGCCTATTAATCTAAAAAATATTAAAGGAAAAGTAAAAAGCCATAACAAATTACTCACCTAGTCCAGTAATTCTCCTGAACAGCTACATGACTGCCAAATGTAAGAAAACCATCAGTAAAGGTTGAGGTCTAGTTGTTCAAAATCTACTGTGAGGAAAAAACAACGCTAATTAAAAAGACACTCTTTGGCGCCATGCCTGTAAGGCACTGATGCATCGTACATGTAGGTAGTAATACAGAAGTCCAGTTGATGTACATGTACTCAAGAACTATAACGAGAAGAAATAAAGGTAGGCTTTATTCACACTGCTTGAAGAGGCTGAATTAGAGCCAAACCCCAGAAGCACCCTTCGCCAACAAAGCATGGGTCTGTCATTACAGTGGCAAATAGTTGGCGCAGACAAAAGACCTGCCACATTATACATCCCCATACAGGCTGGCCTGATCTGTGATGTGCTCACTGTAAATCTCGCTCCATTAACCCGCAACCTTTCAGGAATTAAGTCTTCAGCCTTAAGAAGCTGAGAGCTCTCTCTAAGACCACAATGCGAACAATGGCCCTCCAGATTTATTCTCAGTCACATGTGAGGGAGCTTTCACAATGGGCTCAGACAATCCATGCCCAATCTCACCTCACACCAACAAAGACGGATTAAAGGACGACCCTCTTTTTTTGGGGGGAGGGGGGGTTGTCATGCTCTGCATTTGCACCTCCCCTTGGCTGATGAAGGTGAGGAGGAACAAGGGATGAGATCCAGAAACCCTCCACAGAAAAACATCCAGCTGATCCCTCAGGTTTTGTCAATGGATTACACACTTCAGTTGGAGTGAACATTTTTGTTAGTTTCTGCAACTTAAAGCCAACTCAGTGCAAGTCAGGCAAACTCGGTTGTTCACTGAATAAGTTCCCTAACACCACTAACTGCTCTCCAAAAACAAATAAATACTCTAAACTTTAGATCAGCTCGGGCGTTATTGTAAACAAAATCCATATACATGTACTGGATCATAAAACTATAAAATATTCACAAAGTATCCCCACATTGACAATTCCACCATATCCAGTATCCCCAATGGTTACATGTACATGTACTTCCTGAGAACAGCCAGATCAAGCCATGAAGGAAGGACACAGGAGTTACAACTCTGGCACTTCAAAGTGCTCGATGATCATCGCCGCCCGGTCAGATGAACAACAGTAAACATTCCAAAAATGCCTGATTACTGCCTGCAGCTTAGCTGGACAAGTGTGGCCAGTAATATTGTAACAATAGTTGTGGCGTTTTCTTTGGAATTAACTACAACCTTATCACAGTGACCAGGAAACAAAGAACAAATATCTAACATTTGATTTACTTTTGTCCTTTGGAATATTTTTTAAAGGATTTTGATGCCCTTTTCCATTATCCATGTATATGTTTATTTTATTTTGTTGCTCCAAAACATCAGCTTTCAAAGTCTTTGTATGAGTTTGGCTAAGACTAGCCAAAAACATGTTGAACACCAACAGGACAGTTAAGTTCACGAAAAAAAAAAATGCGCTGTTTCATCACAGGAAGTGATCATGAGATCTCATAAAATACTGTTTTGTGTAAATTCCGTAATAAAAATGATTCAAATAAAACTCAAGATCTAACAAACAACTTGGCTATTTATTCCCAAAACAAGTCCAGAAGAAAGCGTTCGATAAGGGCAAGAACTGCACATGAACACTTTGGGTACACAGCCTAATAAAAGTAACTGCGCAAGCACTAACTTTGATGTTGTCAGATCATATCAAGCACCATGAATATCCAGCTTCCCAAACTGTAGTACACAACGTTTTAGGGATGCAGATTGCCAACGAAAAATTTCGGTGATAATCATGGGGTACAAAGGGGGCTTCTGGTTGCAGAACAGGTGGTGCATAGCAAGCATGTGCTGCGCTCTGGCTACGGACATACCGGGCATGCCAGAGAGCGGTAATTGCCCAGATGTTATAGCACGGACAGTTCAAACTCCTTCTGTTGCCTTCCTCCATGATCAAGTTGACACACGAAAATGAAAGTAAATAGCAAGATAATTTATCTGCAACATGTATTTTTGGTTGTAACTTACATGTATGGCTTTCCCTCACGAAGTCACTTCCTAGTAAAATATAAAGTACTTTACACATACACGTATGTGAACGAATCAGTCTTCAGCACACACTGTCAATAAGCAATTACATGTACTTTTCCATGTCCAGCTAACAACTTACATGTACATGTAACTCCATTTCAATGATAAATAAAATACATAATTCCAAGGCCAACCATTTTGTTAATTTAATGTGTATACTATCAGTATTTCTTAAACACACATGAGAAAAAAAACAATAAACAAAGAAACAAACAAAACAAAACCAAATAGTAAACAAAACAATTTTTTTCTTCTTTTTTTTTGCAATTAAATTATTCGTATAGAGGGTGAAATAACGCTCTGATATCAGACACAGTTCCATACCAGGTACATGTACATATTCTTTAACTGTTCAAACAAAGCAGCATGTCTGCTCATGATTTGTACCATCACGAAATGGTTGTGAGAGAATCAAACAGACCTTAGTTGACAGCTCCAAATTTATTCTGCCTGCCTGCTTTGTAACTTAGCACTTTTCTGGTCTAGATAACTCCATCCTTTGGGCAATTCCACAGATTGATAGACATGAGCATGGAACTTCAAATGTGACATTTCATCTTGCTACCTGGTACCTTACAAGTAGGTATCAGTACTACTTTCAGATAGACGAACATGTACTTTCTGGAACCCTATGTAATGTATTTGGGAAAAGTATCTGTCTTTAAAGGAACCAGGAAATAGAAATATTTTTATAAATGTAACTAAAAACCCTTGAAATTGCATCTTTGGGTTTCAATTAACCTCATTTAAAATTTTTGTTTTGCAAGTTTGATGCATTTTGGGTTTTATGCTAATGCAAATTTGCATATTCATGAGCAAAACTATTATGTCATCCAAGTCACTGAATCTCAATGTTGCACTGATTTGTGCACAGACAATTTCTAGATTTTTTTAACCACTGCTAAGGCAGATTCTATTTCCTTTGGCATTTTATTGCTGTCTTAGTATATGGCAATAATCCAGCCAAAATCCTTTTCATAGAAATGTTCCCAGATAGATAATTTGGGGTTCACAATTTGGACATAAAAACATGCAACCTGAACCAAGTCTTCCTGGATTTACATCAAAGCAAATGCTCCCTCACTTTTCCAGAAATGCTTGGTCAATTCTTAATGTTTGGAAAAGTGTACCGTTCAGTTCATGCAACTCAAAAAAAGGTGTCAAAAAGTTTTCATACATGGAAGAAGAGTACAGAGGTACACAAAAAGTGATTCTCAGAAAAATTCATTTCCTGGATCCTCTAAGGGATTAAAAGAAAAAGTGGAATTCTGAAGATATAGGTTTAAGGCCACTGAACATGGATTTCTTATGTTTTACTGACTGGACTGACTATAAATGTATAGATCTCAAAAATCTAAGCTAATAAAAAACTATGAATAGGATTTACAGACATTTTGCATTTGAAAGACAACTGACTACACTGTATGTTTACATGCAAATGTAGGAACTTAATGTGACTGTTAACTCAAGACAGGACAGTGTGAAACATGGGTAACCAAATGTTATCATTCTGTTTTCTTTAATCTTGTATTTTCTAGGAATATATAATTTTTCTAGAAACGGTGTGTCACATACATGTAACTAGTCTGAAAAAAAGCGAAAACAATTTTTGGAGGAAGCTCAATACATGTATCACATGTTTCAGTGAAAACAGAGAAAGATATGTTTTGAGGCAAGTGAATGAACATTTATGCAAGTGCCAACACGAGGAAGGGTAAAAAGGACGAAAATATTGAAAACTAAAGGTCTTTTAAAAGAGATCCCAAACCTACTAACACAAATGCGACTTAATAAAGCAAGTTTTCTATGCTCTAAACCTCACACCAAAGTCTCTCCAAAAGTAACACGAGTAACTATGTACATGTACATGTAATTGCTGGCCTGCAAAATTCTATAACCTCCATTTACATGTAACTTCCATTCTATCTCCTCCTAAAGTGATCCCTGAATATCAAAACACGAATGGAATGCAGTTCATAAATATCCTTTCATGGCATGGTACATACAAATTATGCTTTCCCGACCTGTATGCTATGACAGCTTGTACATACCATTCCATCATCAGGTAACACTAATTTCCAGGGAAGTTGGCAATAACAGTTTACCTCCCCCACAGTTACAAGTGTTTACCCGTGTGTACACAACAGGGTGGTGTTGCAATTTCCACCCTGACATTTCATTTTCGACGAACACAATTTACAAATATAAGTTCGAGTTCAATTACATGTAGAACAACTGAGCACTGAACCACTGAAAAGGATCCGGTTTCACAACAGCAAATGAATACCATCTGCTGTAACACCCACATGTAAATTCCCTGAAGCACTTTCCATGTGGGTCGTTCTATAAATTGGGGTCCAAACTGTTTTGTGTCCCTGTTACACTGACATGTGATTTTGTACGTTCAGAACACATTTTCTACATGTCATTTTCAAGAGTGATGAATGAATGCAAATTACCTGTCAAACACAGTATGTCCGTGTCAAATTACATAGGTCAAGTGTAACAGCGACACCAAATATTTATTGAATGACCCATGTTCTAAATGCAATGCACAGAAAAAGGACAGGCTAATGTAAAAAATAAAAAATGAAATTCAGTGATTATGTTTACTCTCGATTAATTATCTGTTACTATTCACTTGTTTCCTGTAGACTAGTCTGGTGAGATGCATCTGAGAGAGGTCATTACTGAGTTGCACCGGTGGCAGAAGGGGAAGGGTCACCCCTGCTGAATTGGCACCAGTCTTGCATGCACATCACATGAATGCTTAAGTTTAAGACATGGATGCCTGCTTGGTACTAGTACGTGTAAGTTATAAGCACCTTACTGTCCGAGAGGTACATGTATTTACCAGGATGTCACAAAGAAAGGATTATATTGCTCTAATCTAAAAAAAAGGAAAAAATCACAATTAATTTATACACATCTTGTCTTTAAAATCATGACACTTGCTAATGATTATGTAGAGGGGACTCTTTTCACTTT